CCTCGCCAATCAGCGGGAGCTCTCGTGTGATCGCAGCAGAACGGCAAAGTGTACAGGACGTGACGCCCACCGAGCTGCATCTGCAAGGACGACGACGCCGACGAACGCCGTAAGGCCGACTCCGCTCAAGGACTCATTGTGTTGTGTGACCCGGAAGAGGATCGCCGCTGCCCGCTGACGACTGCGACCGATTCGCGACCGACGATTTGGTGAGTCCGTTTCATACAGACGGTCATTAACGTGTGTATTTTGGAGTCGCGGATTGGGAGACGCGTCGACGGCCGAGGCCCGGCCGTCCCCCGCACGGGAGGTGACGGGAGCCGCATCCGTCTCGCTACGCGAGGAGAGCTCATGCGTCCGGGGTAATGCTGTCGACCGTCCCCGTCGTAACCGAGAACGATCACATACCGCCGCATCAAACAATCGTGAGAATAGCTGTCGTGAACGTTAAAGGTCGTCCTCGAGACGACACGCTGCCGTGTGGAATATTGTCGCGAGCGCAAGTAAGGAGTTGTAACCAAGTAGCTGTCGAAAATAAATCTGTGTTCGGTACAGGAGATCACTGCTCTCGTGTTTTATTGCGGACTCTATCCTCCCCTCAATCACCTCCGACCGCGATCGAACCAGCCCCTCTACCGAAGGGCGGCTGAGCTGCCGAAGGGTCGTACCGGCGACCGATGCTCCTCTGGTCGACAAGTGTAAAGTGAGAGAAAATCGTAAGGTGGTACGGCCGACCGTACCTGGCGCCCAATTCCGAAAGGTTGACTGGAGTCGCAAGTGTCGTAGGAGTGGAACCAGGTTTCACTCCGTTGAGCGAGCGCCGTAGATTTGGTCAGCGCTGCCTCCGCGAGCCGACTACGCGAGGAAAAAGCGTTGCAGTATGTATATATTTTTCTTTAATTATTTGTAAATATTTAAATAACTTTTAAATAACTACTCAGATAGAAATGCGTGATGATTATATTTCATTACAATACTTCATACTATAACTTCTGTTACGTCTGGATATTACGTCCTGGTAGAGAACGCAACACGACGTAAGGTCTCGATCGTACTAGCAAGTCGAGTTACGAGTCAACGACCAGAAGGATCGCTTTACGCGTGTACCGACGTACGACGAGTGGTCCTTTTTCGATCAGAGAACTGAATCTCTTTATCGCGGACGGACCGAGAGCGGATAAGAGAAATGAAGGGGGAAAAGGGAAGGATTCGAAAAGAAATTGTGATATAATTTGAATTGGAATTTAGATAATTCTTAACGATTACATTTATTTTCCTCGCGGGGTTGTTACAATTTTTATTAATTACTAGCACGGAGACAAAGTACGCGCGTGTGTGTGTGTTTGTGTGTGTGTGTGTGTGTGGACTTCTGGGTGAGGGTGAGCACTAATGTTCAGGATCATTGGGAGGTAAAGAGAGTGAAAAGTTCTAGGAGTCTAGGAAGGAACCTGTGCGTAATCCGGGACAAATACTGTACGCGAGCTACCCGGAGTTAAAGTTTTGATATTGAAGAAAACGAGTAACAAACTATAACTTACTGTTGATGTGCGATTTGGAGGAGAGAGTAACTGTTGCTGGATTTCTCAGTTGGGTCCCTTTCGATCCTCGTCTGGATAGAACCTGGTGTTTGTGTGTGAGGGTTGTGGACGATCGCACGATGAATACAGCAATAAGCACAGAGAGTTGAGTAGCTGAACCCTTAGGGTACTTGGATTTTTCCTCAGTGGTAGTAGAAGCACAAGAGTAAGAGAAGTCCAAGAGAAGTGACGTCCAAGAGAAGTGAGGTAAAAAGAGCGTAAGAAGAGGCCGAGGTGCGCGGAGTCGCGCTTATATACGATATTAACTGGAAATGGTTTGGTAGGGAAGATGTGGAAATTTGGGGGTTCCTAGGTTGTTGGATTCGTCAGAGAAAATGGTATGGGGGACTGCTGTATCCAGTAGTAAGTAAGTAGACAGTGTTAAGGAAATCTTCTTGGCTGGGGTTGTGGGTGGAGAAAATCATACGTTTCAAAAGAGAAGGTTATTGGAGGATTTTTAAGGTGGTGAGGGAATCAGCAGATGAGGCGGAACCGAACAACGTAAGTTGGAAAATGTAACGGACATAATTTTTTGTTATCCAGCGGTTCCTTTGATCCCAAGGATAAGGTCCGGTGAAGTTTACTTTGCGGATTAAGGAGTTTTAGTGCTGTATTTTCCAGGGTTATTTCGGAATTTTAGTCGGAATTTTTATTGGGGAAAGACAAAAAAAAAAGGTCTTACGATTCGGAATAGTTTGTTGTTTCCTGACAGAGGAGGCAAAGATAGAGTGCATGACTCATGTCTGCACAGGACGTAACACTTCAATTTGATACTTTTTTAAAGATCATTATGTGATCTCATGACATGAGCACCAGATGTACACAAATAATGTACAAATTATGTTGCAAGTTCTTGACATGATGTTGATTATTATTAAATGAGGTATTTTTGACATCATAACATGTCTGCATTCTGAGGCGCATATGAGCCCGCATCGATGTCTATTCTTGTCCTCATGTCTTGAAGATACATGAATACAATATGAGCTCAGAATGAACACATTTTTCTATTTGAATATATTGCACTCAACAGAATAGTTTGTCAAATATGTTCTGCTGACTACTCAGACAACACAAATGCCCAAAATCGAATCATCTTCAAGACATTTTTAAGACAATATCTTATAAATTTGTCTTAAAGATATCTTAAAGACTTCTTATGACTCGATTTTGGACATTGTGCTATCTAGGTATTATCATACATTATATCATAATTAATAAGATATAAAATATTATATCTCATTTTTGTTCATTTTATTAGATTTATTATGTATTTTTCTTTAATTTTAAATAAAAATTTCAGTACATGTTGTCTCAAAAAAAAGTTTTATAAGAAAAAAAATGAAATAAAACAGTGCTAGAGCACACAGTCACGGGCCTGTGGCCACACTTGAGACAGAATATATATTTCTTTTTGCCGATTCTCTTCGAACACGCTATTGCCATTCTATTATAAATTCTATGGTATTGAATAACTTTTGTCTGAATATAATTTTTATTTGATCATATCCTGTGAAAATAAAAGGAATGATAGAATGGAACACTCTGTATACGGATATTAATTAATTTTTATCTTATGTTAACTTAAATAATCAATTTCTAGAGGTTTAAAAAAAATTTTTTACCCAAATTTTATGACGGGGG